CTCCAAGCTGATAATGGGTGGTGAAGTAGCCTTGTGGTTTAAGTGTTCACTCGTCACGCCAAAGACCCGGGTTCGATTTGCCACATGGGTACAATGTGTGAAGCCCATTTCTGGTGTACCCCAATGTAATATTGCTGGAATATTGCTAAAAGCGGCGTTAAACCAAACTCACTCACTCACTCAAGCTGACAAACAATGATATAAATTAAATACTGTTCAAGTATTTCAAACTCACTCACTCACTCACCCACTGCAGCGGACCAGGACACAAATACATGCACCGATCTACTTTCTATTAATCGCCTTCAAAAGAAGCCTGTCAAGGTATAGAAGTTAACTACTCAATGCCATTAAAAATTAAAACCTTGTGTCACTTTCAAAGATGACGATTATGACATTTCTTTGATCTGCCTACAAGGGGATAAAAAATGTCATGTTTCGGTCTTTTTGTTCTTGACCATTTTTTCTGCTTTAAAGAAAACTAGAAATAAAACCTGACAAATGAATCAAAGCTTTAGAATTAATCTCTTACATCACTGACACTTTGAACTTTCCGACAAAAATATTACATTACGGTATTACATTAATATCAAAGAATAATCCGATCATGTCAAACCATGATCCATACTCAGTGTTCTTCATGAATAAAACAAACACTAAGAAACCTAATTTGAAGTGAGTAGACTTACAGAATCATTTCCATAATCCTAATTTAAATGAAATTACAAAAGTTGACATAAAAACCAGAAACAGTAGCCGTGGCACCCTTCAACAATACCCAGACTTCTTAAAGGTCATTTTCTCTCTACAAAGGACGACACTATTGTAAATGAAAATATTCCATCAAAATATCAAACAGATTCACTTGGGAAACCTGTGTCTGTTCTTTCAACAGTGTCGATGACATCAAACTCATCCTATCCTACAAAATCCCAAAGGTTAAACCAACAAAGGGAACGTCTTCAACGGTAAGGTTCCCCTTGCGCTTTCCGTCTTCTACAGCTTCGTCCTGTAACCAAGGGTAATCTTTTCTGCAGCCATTCAATTATCGTAACCTTTCATCAGTCACAACCCGTCATTAATTCAGGCATTAGATGCATATATCTCCCTTATCTCATCCCAATTAGCAAGGGAATAAAAGGCGGTGGTAATGGAAGAGAGTCTGTTTACTTCATGCTTGCTGATGACTGTTTTTGGTTGACTGCATTCTGACTGGGATTTAACCCCCTACTTATGTAACTGAACAAAATTGCATGGCAGTTGACGTAGTTTATGCATGCTGTGTTAGTTTCGCAAATGGACCGAAGATGCAAGGCATGTTGTTCACGTATACCGTTGATGAAATTGACCTTTTCTCCATTATCCTCTCGTGATGTGGTACTTACAGGCAATAGAATCCATTTCTCAATTTTTCCGCCATTTTTATTTTGAGCATATGCTTTTCATTCACATTACAGCTGTTTGGTTGAAATATATATATATATGTATCTTTACATATATACATGAATTTTGAGGGAATTTCATGTTGTGTCATTATGTTGAAGATTTCTTCATCAATGTACTACTGTACACTGCTGAACTTCACCCTTTATATATAAACTGGATAAGATTTTAAAATATAAACGATTCTAAATTTATAAAAGAAGGATAAGGGACCGTTCATAATTCATGGCGCGTGTGTGTGTGTGTGTGTGTGTGTGTGTGTGTTTAAGGGGGGTCACCCATTTTGTTCTGGGGAGGTGGAGGGTCATCAATTTTGTACACATGCAGGGGGGGCATCAATTCTGTACATGAAAATATTTTAAAATTATGCTTAAAAGGGGGAGGGGGGTCATTGATTTTGTACATGACATGCAGGGGGGGTCACTTACTTTGTACCTAAATTTTAGGGAGGGTCATTCACATTGTACATGCTTCTCCATAAAAATCATCATCACCCCACCCAGCCATAAACTATGAACGGTCCATAATAGAATCTGAACTCATATAGCAGCTAATAGTGTACATACATTTTATTGGACCAGATACTTTCATGTTCATTCAGATCACAGTTAGTTATGGTTAGAGTTACCTGTAGTGTTGGGAATTGGTTAAAATCTCATAATTGATGATTGGTTCATTACTACCGATCAATCATCGAAAATAATTGGTTAAAGTTATTTATGAAATTTGTTGATGCACATAAATATAAGTGGGAAAAATGTTGTTCTTTGGGGGTTTTTGGGGCAAAATTTCACATATTTAAAGGATGACTAGTATGTTAGGAACATAAATTTCTTGGAATCTGAAATGAGCTTGTAGTGCTTATGAAATGTAACAGACAAAACCAACCATGTGAAAAATATTGTTAATGAAAACAAGTGTTCCAGAATTGTTTGTGTTCGATTATGAGAAATTATGATTGATTGCTTGGTCGTTTAGTCACTACGACCAATCTTCGATTATTTCAATTAATTGGACCACCACTAGTTACCTGCCCCTACTGTGGATTTAAAAGGAAATGTAAAAGATGTAAACAACATCGTTTAAATTAGATCACTGTCTTACAGTTGAGTTCTTATTTCTTTAATGGCACAATTTCTAATTTGGCAAGGTGACAGAAAACTGTCATCATCACAAAAGCATTACATGCTTGAAATACCTTCTTTCTAATATCTGTATGCATGTTCATAGTCCTGTTGATCAATAGATTGTCTGATCCAAACTTGATAATTTCGGCATATAGCTGGAATATTGCTGAGTGCAGTGCTAAACAACAAGCAAATCCTTCAGACTGATGGGATGTCTTAAGACCAGCTGACATACTTATGATGTGTCTTCACACAAATAGTACACGGTTGAAGTTCCTTCATGCTGACAATATGTCATAAGACAAGTAGTATATGCTCAAAGTATTGTCATTCTGATAACATGTCTTCATGCAAATAGTACACGGTTGAATTTCTTACATGCGGTTGAAGTATATCTTTCATGCTGACAAAAGATGTCATAAGACAAGTAGTATATGCTAAGAAAGTATTGTCATACTTAGGGACCATTCATAATTTATGGCTTTGGGGGATGAGGGGTCTTCATGCTGGAGTTCATCGGGGTTTTGGTGATATATGCTTTATACTTAAAATATTGGAAAAATAAACTTAAAATTATGGGAAGGGGTGAAGGTGTGTCATTGATTTTGTACATGACTTGAAGCTCAAGAGTCACTTACTTTGTACATAAATTTTGGCTTTGGTGGGATGATGGGGTGGCATTCACCTAAAAAATCTTCTCCATAAAATCATCATCATCATCACACACACACATCACACACACACACACACACACACACACACACACACACACACACACACACACACACACACACACAGAGCCATAAATTATGAACCGTCCTTTATAGCATGTCTTCTCATGCTTGAAATGAAATCATATTGATAAGATGTCATCAAACAAGCAGTACATGCTCAAACCATCATTCATACACACACGTTGTAATTATTCCTCATTAAACCAGACTTTTACAGCGTGGAATCGGACAAACATGGCCGCTGCTTTTCCAAATAAACCGTAAACAATGCAATATCGCTGCAGCTGATCACATGCATTGTTGTTGCTTAGTGAGCGTAAAGCTAATTTACTTCGTCAAGCATAATCGCTAAATTATGTAATAACTGTGTCTGCTTGTCAAGACCATGTAACAAATTGCTTTTGTATTGACCCTGATGGTGGAAGATTTTCTACCAGTCTTCATTCATGGGTTTGTTAACGTTGAGGCTGTGGTGATTAAGCATAATGGCCTTAAGACACGATTGAAATCCCTGAGGAATGGGTTACTTAGTCCAAAGTGCCAGCAGATGTATGTTCCATAGACATCTCTACCTTCAACAACTTCAGTGTGTTGCAATTTCATATCTATTCAAAGACAAGTCACACTTTTGGAAACACATCTGTCAAGTTGAGCATATATTGTTAAGAGTGAGTGAGTGAGTGAGTTTAGTTTCACACCACTTTTAGCAATATTCCAGCAATATCACAGCGGGGGACACCAGAAATGGGCTTCACACATTGTATCCATGTGGGGAATTGAACCCAGATCTTTGGCGTGACAAGACAACGCTTTAACCACTAGGCTACCCCACCGCCCTATATTGTTAAGATGCTTAAGTAAAAGATTGTGAAATATTTCTTGGTTAGGAAACTTTCTAAATGAAATTTAGATTAATATGAAGTCTGGCTTTATAAATACTGAGGTGAGGTGAAATTGGGTTTTACATCGTGCTTGAGAATATTTCGCTCATATGACCACGTGCATGCGTGTGTATGTGTATGTACGGATGCTTGTACTAGCCCAGACTTAGGCTGGTTTTATAGTGCTAGCTCACTGAGATACCATGCCGCAGTGAAGCATGAATACCCCACTCAGACACATTATACTGACTCCAGAGCCGACCAGTCCTTGTTGTACCCATTAATGCCGAGAGCCAGGCAGGGACCAACAAGTACCATATTTTAACGTTTTTGGTATGGCCAGCGTCGGGGACGCTCTAACCACTACACCACTGAGGCGGTCTTTATAAATACTGAAAGAAGCAGGTAAGAAAGCCCATCTGAGAAAAATAATGAAAGATAACTTTTGCATAAAAAACATGGAAATGGGGCAAGGAAGGTATCATCTCATTGTATGGCTCAGGATGAAAGTTGTCTCTTCAGATAGTTGACCTCCTGTCTTGCTGTTTGAACTTGCAAATGTTTACCTCGCTGTGACTAGTGGCAGTGGGGTAGCCTAGTGGTTAAAGCGTTGGCTCGTCACACCAAAGGCCCGGGTTTGATTCCCCACATGGGTACAATGTCTGAAGCCCATTTTTGGTGTCCCCCGCCGTGATATTGCTGGAATATTGCTAAAAGCGGCGTAAAACCATACTCACTCATACTCTGGAGACTATGATTTCAGTGGTACAACCATATGTGTAAACGCACTGTATCAGCAAACCTGTGGAACTTACCAAATGCTTGGTTCTCTGTACTGCCTTCTCTAGCTCATGGACCTCCTGTTGAAGGTCCTGATTACTGACCTCGAGGTCCTTCACATGGCGAGATCTTTCGGGGTCACCTTGTTGCACCACCTGCAATATAAACAAGGACTTTATGATGGACAGCCATACAAAAATACTATCTACTGGCATTGATACCTGTAAAGATTTAGGTTAGAACTCTTCAGCAACCCTTGTGGTAAGAGGCGACTAACGGGATCGGGTGGTCAGGAAGCTGACTTGGATGACGCATGTAATTGTATCCCAATTGCACAGAACAATGCTCATGAGGTCAATCACTGGATTGTCAGGTCTAGACTCGATTATTTACAGGCTTCCTTCAAATAACAGTAAATATTGCTCGATGCTCATAATTTTGATCACTGGATTTTCTGGTCCAGTCTTGATTATTTACAGGCCACATTTTTAAACAGAATTTAAGTTCAACGACAGTGTGTCAAGCTGATGTGGGAGAAAGCCCAGTGTTATATGTCTTGGACATTGGGTAAATCACAAAGGTATGGGAGTTGAGCTAGCAAACATAATTAGGGAGAATTCAACATTCGGACATCTGACCACAAGTTTCCATTTCCCCCCAGGGAGACAATTTGTGTCATCTTGACCACTCATGCCCCTTTTGAATAACAATATAGACTTGGCGCCAACAAATAATTCCATCTCATGGCTTGAACACCTGGTGTCATTACTATTTAATAGTGATTCACAAACACATGCTCATAATATTCCCAGAGTTGTACAACCGACTCAGAATCAGAAACCTTTTGTGGCTGTGGGAAAAGTTTGATCGATTATATTCTTTTACATAAAGTGAAAAAGCTCAGTTTAACGGGCTAGTTTTATTATGATTTCCGAAAGTCTAAAAAGACTTAACTATACCTCTGCAGAAATTCTGCCAGATCAGTTATCATTCATGTCCTCATTTCTGATGCTCAGAGCCATGTTGCCAGAAACCACAACTTCTGAACTAACACATCTATTCCCATTTCAATCCACCCTATTATCTAGAGAATCAAAGTGACAGACAACGAAGATGCACCTTGTGGCATTTTATTTTCTTTTTCACTTAAGCTTCAAACCAATACAAAATGTCAAATTTGAATTCTTTGTTGCAATCTTTGTGGTCTTTACACAGGATACTGAAAAATGTCTGGTTATTTTCAGTTTCAATTAGAGGTTGACTGTCTAAATAGCAGCTGAAAAGGAAGAAACTTTAGATGTGACTTTATCTTTCATCACAACACACATCAAACAAGTCCTTGTGTGTCTAGACACTTGGTTTGTTTTGTAAGCCTGATCAGCTTGAAGGCCATGTTATAAAAATAATTATAATTATTTTCCTGTCATCAATAAACAGACAATCACAGTACCTCTTTCAGAGTTTGAGGGTGGCACAGGGGCCTTTATTGTCTAAACCACTGCAGTTCACTGTGCAGAGTTATGTCCCTTTGATAACCAAGAAACTATGATAATTGGTTTGAATCCTGTTTTGCCTTGAATAATTTATTGGGCTTGTTGGTTGGTTGGTTTGTTCTTTAATGCCGCACTCAACATTATTCCAGCTATATGACGGCGGTCTGTAAATAAATAAGTCTGGACCAGACAATCCAGTGATCAACAGCAGGAGCATCGATCTGGGATAAGATGACATGTGTCAACCAAGTCAGTGAGCCTGACCACTCGATCCCGTTAGTCGCCTCTTGTGACAGGCATGGGTTGCTGAAGACCAATTCTAACCCAGATTTTCACGCGTCTAGGCTTGTCAGCATCAAACTATACTCCTAGATTTTACCAAAGGGGTAAATATCTAAGACCTATGAATTTCTATAAACTTTATCATGAATATTGGGTTAAGAATACTAATAATTAGCGAATACAATATTGTTGTTAAGTGATTGAACACTGGAACATGCTGTTGTAGTTGTAGTGTTGACAATAACCAGTGATCACATGACTTGACTGACTGACTGACTGATTGACATCGCCGCTTTTAGCAATATTCCAGCAACATACGGCGGGGACAAGAAATTATTGTACCCATGTGGGGATTCGAAGAGTGCTCTTCAGCGTGACGAGCCAACGCTTTAACCACTAGGGGATCTCATGACACTCAAATTTGGTATGTAATAGTTATAGTCGACAGTACCATGTGCAGCCTTGGCCAACTAACATGACTTGCGCTACTGCATTGCTAGTACATATTCAATCCTTGCATATCTATTCCTGTACACATGGGTTCAAGTAAAACATGCTCCCTTAAAAAATCGTAAATATAATATTCGGGTTTGGGTGACCAACGAATAACGAATTGAATCCATGAAGGGCTTCGGTTCGATTCACCGAATATGCGAGTGATTCGTTACAGCCTTAGTAAATATCTAAGACCTGGATTTCTAAAAACGTTCCTTGAACATTAAGCTGACGAGCTACAATATCACTATAATACTGTTCAGTGTAGTGTTGACAATTCATCACATCTTATAATATCAATATGGGATTAGGGAGGTAGGAGCAGATCAGAAGAAAATCTGAATTAAAAAGATTGATAGGTACAATATTGAAAATATGAGATATTGCTTCTGTGTATATTAATACCCAAACTCATGAGCATTGTGTAGACAAAATATGAGAAAAGATAATATGCTGACTACCTGGTACTAGCAGGAGATTATGTTTGTGTGTATTTTGCTTGTTTTGTTTGTTTGTTTATTTGTTGTTTAATGCTGCACTAAACACTATTTCAGCACTTTGGTGACACTCTGTAAACAATCCAGTCTGCACCACACAATCTGGTGATTGACATCATGAGCATCAACCACTTGACATGATGACACTTTTCAGTAAACAATGTGTATGACACCCATGCTCATAACAAATCAATAAACTGATTTTCTTAGACCTAGTATATATGAGTCTGACCACCCAATGATGTTAGTTGCCTCTTAAGAAGAGCATGGGTTGCTGAGGACCAATTCTATGTCAAATTAGTGGTTGGTTTGAGTTTCTGCTGACTGTAGTATACAGCACATGCAAAATTGAGTGAGTGATTGAGTTTAGTTTTACGCCGCACTCAGCAATATTCCCGCTATATGGCGGCAGTCTGTAATTAATTGAGTCTGGACCAGACAATCCAGTTTTTTAACAACAGCATGAGCATTGATCTGCGCAATTGGGAACCGATGACATGTGTCAACCAAGCCAGCGAGCCTGACCACCCGATCCTGTTAGGGGCCTCTTACGACAAGCATGGGTTACTGAAGGTTCATTCTAACTCAGACCTTCATGGGTACATGCCAAATTGATATACTCATGGAAGCAAACCAGGGAACATATGAAAGTACAAGTGTTGTACTTTCATATGTTCCCTTATTTGTTTCCATGAGTATATAATCCCCATGACCATTAACATCACCTATGATCATCGATTATTTCCTGGTTCAGCTTTGTACTTTGTACTGACAACCAACAGGAAATGTCACAATAGAGATAAGGTGAGGTGAGGTGAAATTGTGTTTAACGTCGTGCTTGAGAATATTTCGCTCATATGATGACGTGCATGCGTGTGTATGTGTATGTGCAGCTGCTTGTACTAGCCCAGACTTAAGCTGGTCTTATAGTGCTAGCCCACTGAGATACCATGCCGCAGTGAAGCATACCCCACTCAGACACATTATACTGACTCCGAGCCGACCAGTCCTTGTTGTACCCATTAATGCCGACAGCCAGGCAGGGACCAACAAGTACCATATTTTAACATCTTTTGGTATGACGCGGTCGGGGATCGAACCCGCGACCCTCCGCTCTCCGCAATCGAGATAACTTGTTTCAAAACAGAACTGTCAACGAAGCAGTAGCCTGGTCAGCAGACACCCCCTCCCCACTATAAAGCTGGATACAATGCAAAATCAAATCTGGTCCCCGGAAAGGGGAAAAGAAAATAATAATGACAATATTTATAACCTGCCTTTTCCAGGCTAGATATCCTGCTCAAAGCACACAATCTGATCATTATTACCCTGGATAACCCAAGCTGCCTGTTAGGCGCTAGAAGGTTAATAGTCTCAAACTTATTTCATCGGGTACCCATTTCCTGCTGGGTGAACAGAGGTAATTGTGCACAAACTCACATGCCCAAGGTGAGACCACATTTGTCACATGTGCTTCGTTGTGGGGCAGGACTGAAGTCCTAGAAACTCTCAGGAGTTAAGCTGCCAACACGGTCACCCATCCATGGGCTGTCCGCACCCAGCGTTGTTTAACTTCAACTGATTTGTGACCTGAGCGCTATGCACAGGACCACGTGCCACCACAAAATGTTTTGTATTCCTCGAAAAATCTTGTCAAAATAACACTGCTGTCTGATGAACTGTGACAGTCTGACAACCACTGGCTCCAAACTGCAAAGGAGCTAAGGTGGAGCCATAAGATTATTTTCACATTTTCCCATTCCTTCTGTCCTTCCCTTGGGAGAAAATACCAAAACTGTCCACTATCAAATGCATGAGAAATGATCTTTCTTTTCAAATTGCCTCTAATATAAACCATGGCTGAAGCAAGTTTACTCTGTGCAGCATTTGCCTTATTATCTTCCCTGTGTGGAGCTCTATTGTTTTGGTTTGAGAATTGAATAGGGGATGAACCCAAGATGTGAGGTCAAACTTAGAAGTTATTTCATGCATGGTTTAAAAACGCAGAACCCTCGGCGTACTGGCGCTTTATGTTGCCTTAATGACAAGCATAAAGTAGCTTTTCTACCAGGTAATTTTAGGAAGAATCTACTTACGATGTGTTGCCTAGTTTCCTTGGTGACATTGTCTGAACTTTTAGGATTTCCATCATAAAGTACGAAACAATTTTCGAATTACCATCACTATGGAACATCATTAAGATCACAATATTCACATCCGACGAAATAACATCGATTCAAGAAGGCGTTTTATGTCTGACCCGCACTAAATAATTTAAGTGGGGTAATTTACTGAAGGCGATTCCTTTCGGAAAATGTAAATAATCATTTTCATCTTTCATAATTGATGCAGCTGACATGTCCATCAAACAAAATTGGAATAATTTTTACATGAAATCACGATCAATCACACTGGCAGACCTCTTGAAACAGGTGAGTTTCTTTGCAGAAACAATGTTGATATCGAAAAAGGAAATCAATCGCAAAGAGCATTTTGACTGTGATGGACTCAGACATGGCAACATTAGAAAGTAAAAAATAATATTCAAAACACAATGTCGATGACTCAGCGTTGGCAAGCAAGAAGATTTTCTGAAGCCATCAGCAGAAAGGATTGGAATATATATAGACATCTGTCCGTACCTGTCAGTGATCAATAGCATTTAGTTGTGCATTCACACTTGCTTTAGTGACGATGTCATGTTGTTATATACACAGATGAGTGATGGGGCGTGGAGTGTAGGGCTCAGGGTGTGGACAGTAGAGTGTGGAGCATGCAGGGTGGAGGGTAGAGTGATGAGGGTGAGTGTGGAGCATTGAGTGTGGAGAGTGGAGTGTAGGGCTCAGGGTGTGGGGTGTGGACAGTAGAGTGTGGAGCATGCAGGGTGGAGGGTACAGTGATGAGGGTTGAGTATGGGGTGTGGAGTGTAGGGCTCAGGGTGTGGGGTGTGGACAGTAGAGCGTGGAGCATGCAGTGTGGAGAGCAGAGGCGAAGAGTGTTGAGGGTTAAGCTTAGAGAGAGGAGGGTTAAGTGTGGAGCATGGAGTGTTGAGCGTGGAGAGCGGAGGGTTGAGTGCTGAGGGTTGAGTGTTGATTGTGGAGCATGGAAGGTTGAGTCTGGAGCGTGGAAGGTTGAGGGTTGAGAGTGGAGCGTTGAATGAGGAGGGTTCCGTATGGAGTGTGGAGGGTTGAATGAAAAAGGTTGAGTATGGTGGAGAGTGAAGCATGGAGAGCGGAAGGCTGAGGGTTGAGTGTTGAGTGTTGACCGTTGAGGGTTGAGTGTGGAGCCGTGAGTGTTTATTTCCTTTTCCATGTTCATTATCATCACATAAAATGACCACATATTTTCACGACCTTTGAAAAGAATTAGCTTATTTTGTAATATGACCTATGGATGGTCGTAACAATTGGCCTATTGACATGGTTGCCCTGGGAGTTGGACTGAGGCTAGCATCTGAAGCAGGATTTGACAGCCTGTGATGAAAGAGGTCAGAGATTCATTCCATGGTGACAACATGACTCAGACAATAATCTTCAGGCAATATTCCACATCACAGCAACACAGTTGACAATACTCAATCTATATTCTGGGGCAGAGGGGTAGCCTAGTGGTTAAAGCATTCGCTTATCATGCCCAGGGGTCGATTCCCCACATGGGTACAATGTGTGGAGCCCATTTGTGGTGTCCCATATGCGATATTGCTGGAATACTGTTAAAGTGGTGAAAAACCCAACTCACTCACTCACTCAATCTATATTTCTCAAAAGACTTTAAGGAACACTGTTTTCATGACTATGACAGATCAACTACATTGAAATGAAAATATTAAACATTCTTAACTTCTTTTGAGTGGTATATATCACAGTAGGCTCTTGCAATTAACTAAACTGGAGACCGCCTCCGTGGTGTAGCGGTTAGAGCGTCCGACCGGAGAGCGGAAGGTCGAGGGTTCGATCCCCGACCGCGTCATACCAAAAGACGTTAAAATATGGTACTTGTTGGTCTCTGCCTGGCGTTTGGCATTAATGGGTTCAACAAGGACTGGTCGGCTCAGAGTCAGTATACTGTGTCTAAGTGGGGTATTCATGCTTCATTGCAGCATGGTATCTCAGTGAGCTAGCACTATAAAACCAGCTTAAGTCTGGGCTAGTAGAAGCAGACGCACATACACATACACACACACACATGCACGTCGTCATATGAGCGAAATATTCTCAAGCATGACGTTAAACCCAATTTCACCTCACCTCACTAAACTGGGCTCAGAAGTTTAGGCAAACCAGTGGTCGATAGAACGAACAACAGCCCATGATATTCAGGTGCAACAGACAGTCAAGTCACATAGTTTATTGTCACATAAATGATGACAGCAAACATAGGGGACTGTGTGGGGACAAAGTCTCACCCAGAACTGCCAAGGGGGTTACCGGTTTCAGTGTCAAAAACTACTATTGCCTCTGTTCACCCATCAGTGAATGGGTATCCGGTGGGATAAGATGGTCATATGACTGTTAACCTTTCAGGACATCACAGACAGCTTGGGTTAAGCAGGGTAATGATGTCTTGTGCTTTGCACATAATTTGTCCTCAGTGCCACTGAGCATCTTTGAGGTGCATATTAGGTAGGGCTGCGCAATATAACCGGTTCAGACATGAAAACGATACGTATTGTGATACGCTGATCGAAAACCCGTATTTTGACATGCATTCGGAAAACTTCGTAACACTCGGAAATCTTCGGATATTTCCGTTTTTATAATTGTTCTTTTCCCTGTTTCATTAGTGCCAAATGTTACTTACATTTTTATTTTGTCATGATTAAAAGTTTTTATAAAAGGTTAATCAATCATAGTGATTTTGTTGTGTTTTTGCTATATAATCAAGCATTAACTCGATTATAAGTAGTTTTTGTTAAAAATATAATCCTTGCAATATATTGCAATACATATCACAATATACGCTTCCGCATCGCAATATATCGCAATATGAAAATTCTCTGCAATACCCACCCCTAATATTCGGCGCTCTACAAATGCACTATAATATTAATATAACACCTGGTAGTATGAGAATATGGTTCGTGTAGTGAAGCAGCTTAACCAGTTTTATAAAATCATCTCAACGAATACTAGAACCTGAGAACAGTGGAATTCTGCATAAGATGGTCACAAATCACATTCCAAGTCATCTCAGGCCCTGCAATGTGGTGTGCAGAGTTGCGTACCTTTAGGATACCAGGAACCTATGATGAAATGTTTGAATGTCGGTTTGCCCCGATTATGCTTTGAGGTTTCTCAGCATCTTTAGATGTGTTTTACAACAGTGCTAAATGTCTGTATCACCTTGTACTTCCTCACATTAAAGTGAATTAATGTTTTGAGTGAGTGAGTGAGTATGGTTTTACACCGCTTTTAGCAATATTCCAGCAATATCACGGCGGGTGACACCACACATTGTGCCCATGTGGGGAATCGAACCCGGGTCTTCAGCGTGACCAGCGAACGCTTTAACCATGAAGCTACCCCACCGCCCCTAATATTTTGAAGATTTGAACTCAACTCACACCCAAACCATTTTACAATCTTGATTACAAGAAGGGGAAGTAGTTTATCATTTTGTACAAAGTCTGTGTAAAAAGTCCACAAAGAGCAGCAATAATAAGTCTGTGATACTTTACACAGGTACATTCCTGATATAATACTGACTGACTGACTGACTGAGTTTGGTTTTACGCCGCTTTTAGCAATATTCCAGCAACATCATGGCGGGGGACACCAGAAATGGCCTTCACACATTGTACCCATGTGGGGAATCAAACCCGGGTCTTCGGCGTGACAAGCCAACGCTTTAACCACAAGGCTACCCCACCGTCCTCCTGATATAATAGGAGAGGTGGGGTAGACTAGTGGTTAAGGTGTTCGCCCTTCACGCTGAAGACCCAGTTTGATTCCCCTCATGGGTACAGTGTGTGAAGCCCATTTCTGGTGTCTCCCCGCGGTGATATTGCTGGAATATTGATAAAAGCGGCATAAAACTAAACTCATTTACTCCTGATATAATTTGTGTAAATAGGAAGGCAGAGCCATCCAATGATGAGTGACCTAAGTACAGATGATATTCTCGGAAGCCGGGACCCAGTTCCACAAAGCATCAAGGCACTAAGATAATTGTAACTTTACTACTTCAACATTGACTTATGATGCTAAGATATTTAACCATCCATTAGCTCTGTCATATTCACTGTTTACTGAGCAAACAAACATGAAAGGTCACATTAGATAATGTTCACACTAATGTCAAAATATTCGGAAGGTAATAACAATAATAACAGAATAACCTAGTAACATTATGTAATGTCCTAACATAATAATAACATAATAACATAATGTCCATATACCTGCAGTAGTCGCATCATCCTGTTAAGTCAATTTAAACTCCACTTTTCAGATCTCAAACCCCTCGCTCAGCCATGAAACAAAATCCATGCCCATCACTGAAACTGGAACGCTGTAAGACGTGAAAGCGGTTCACAGTCACCACTGACGAGTTGCCATCTACCTCAGCAAAAAGTTCTTTGAAGCTCACATCAACGAAGAAATGCTCTGGACAACGACCCTTGTTTCCTTATCACTGTGCCAAGATATGACAACATCGCGAATCAATGCGGCAGGAGTCTCCCATCCTGCATGCTGGTGTGAAATCAATCTTCTCTATTAAAGGTGAGAATCGACGAGCTGACTCCCTGAAGATAGACTCGTGCCTTAGCACGGTCAGTGAATCCTGATTCCCATAAGGAGGGGAGCTTTCGTGTCCGTCAATGCGCACAGCAAACTTTCACAGCAGAATGAACCGGGTCTGTATTTTCAGCATCATTCTACGTGTGTTGTTCAATAACACCTTCCAAAGGTCATGACATCATTGTCAGTTTACTCCCAACACGTGTTATATGGTAAATATGGATTCCACTTTGGAAATTTCACCAAAATACTGTAACGGAACATGACAGATTATGAACACTGAGTTAAATTTGTCACAAAACAAGAGCACTATATCTACTCAGCTGAGCTATACCCTGCAGTGAGATCAAAAGGATTAATTGAGAAAACTTATTTTATCAGCTCTGAATCAAAGTCTATCAGTTTCATAGATTAGGTTGGTTGTCAAAGCTAGTTCTTAAATCTCAAACCTGATTTTAATTGTCAATATAAGAGTGAAAGAAAGAAAAATTTCAGACTTGCTGCTATTTTAGATTTGATAATTAAAAATCTGATGTCTACATTTAATCTTGTATACAAAGTTAATAAGGCAGTGAAATGTTAATATTAGTCAAGATGCCATAATTAAGGTCCACAAGAACAACTCTCCCCCAACCCCCAACCTCCCACACTCCTCACCCCACAACCTCCACCTGAACCCCACAAATACCCTTCCTTCATCTGAAACCTGTCTGAAGATCCCATAAAGTTTTCTCATCAATAATGATAATAATAATGTGTCCATTTATATAGCGCCAAACTCCACACTAGGTATGCTCATAGCGCTAACAATCAAGGCACAGCACATTATTACCCCGGATAACCCAAGCTGCCTGTTATCAAGATTATTGTTCATGTTTTTGATATTAGGTTATGTTTAGATGAACAAATAATTTATAAATAATATTTCTTTTTGTCACTTGGCATATTGACCCAAAAATGTGTAAAAAGGTAAAATAAACTGATAAGATCTTTACAAAACACAACACGATTCCTACAATATTCCTAAAACATCCTCAGCTCCAGACACTACCAATATAAGGGAGAATTCATTTGAGTTCAATGGGTTGGGTAGGAATTGTTCTGAAGAACAGTCTATTGTTCCAAGATACATCTAACAAAATATTACTGACCACCATCAAACAATCCTTTCGTTCTCACTAAGAGACTTATGTTAGGCTATTTTCCACTAAACGAACTATTAATTTCTAGGACCACTGACGACAAACTATTCATTCTGGTCATATTTCTGAACAAACTATTCATTTAAAAAAATCTTTAAATCACCCATAAAAATCAAATGGCTACTCCCTAACAGGATATTAACTTTGGTGAAAATTCCAGACAATTAACCAACTTTAAAGAGTCTTCCTGGTAAACGTTGTCGCTGTGGGGTTTCATATTGGATGTTCATCAACTGGACCCTTTATCTGAAATTAGTCTCTCACTTTTGTGATTTTATGGCAACAATCAGCAAAGCCTGACTCTAAATAATTCACATTTCAATTCAAACAGCTATCGCCCTCCAACTTGCAACTCAACTGTGATCAAAGGGCCTTATTCTCTTTATTTCTACAGTCTGCAATTTCAGGTTAACATTGAAATGGAAAGACTTACAAATTATCAAAGACTTTTAATCATAACCTAAAATTCATAAACATAAGATTAAAGCATGTCTCTAAATTTAGACTTTTATGCTCATTGATTTGAACCTCTGTATGCTAAGGTGAGTAAAATGCATCCCAAAAGCAAATACTTCATAGAAAATATGGCACATTTTGGTTTAAACTCTGATAGTACTTTTAATATCTTGGTTTAACGTTTTCACTTGAGAATACTTTTTTATATGTATATATCTGTTCTTCAAAGCAAAAGAAAATAGTAACTGTTGCCATACTGAATAAGACATATATTCATTTCATATGATAGCTTTTTGAAAAACCTGGTGTCATCGGTTACTTTTAGAAATCCATCCATATAGTTTTTATTTGCCTTTTACACCCGAGATAGATAATCAAGACTGATTACTCTTTGATTACTCTCTGACAAAGATCCTGTTATTGCAATAAAATAGACACCATAGCTTTAACTATTTTCAAATTTACTTCTCGAAATCTTATACTCAATGAAGTTTCAATTTTGTTTCATTCAATGTTTATAATGAAATTGAGAACATGTAACTTGCATAAACACTGAAAAGATAACTAATCATATGTCCTCAGTATCGACCATGTCCAGAAAATGAAATTGTTATCTTGACCCAGTAAATCAACTAAAGGCAAACCCCGTGTGATTAGAATTTGTAAACTGCCTTCGTTTTTCCGTTCAATAACCTGAATTTAAAGAGTTCCGACTTAAGAACTCATAATCTGTCAGTTCTGAGAAATATTAACCAACATGAAAGAAGACAAACAAGGCACCAGGTTAATATTTGGATTAACCACCGAGGAATTTTCCCCGTAATACTCTGCTCTAAGAACTTCTAAAAGTGTTGAAGTTATAGATTTCTGCACCATTCGTCTTTTAAGTTCCAAGCACCAGGATAACCTTAACTTGAAATTACAGTTTTTCAGAAAAGGTATTTGGATGAATGATTTTGCCAACGCTATTAAATAAATAGCCACTTTCTGCAGCTAGTAAGTGCAACTTCCTATTCACGTTTCAAGTTCATTTCTGGTTTTGCCATAAAAAGTACAATATCTTTTTCATCTGATAATAGACTACAGTTTCGACAAATCATTGATAACAGCTCTCAAAATAAGTTTCAAAATCAGAATTCTTTGTCTTGCTCATAAATAATTGTCACACGCTTTTGTTATGTAATAAAACAGTCCACGTTTGTAAATCTTCAGATCATTTGAAATTTACGACATGTGCTCGATTTCAATTTTGATTGCCCTGACGGTCATCTTTGGTATTGACACTGCGCCAATCAATAACAATGGGTTATTTGAATCGCTTTCGACACTGAATCTAGGGTCCTAATGATTAATGTCATCTTTGTTGATTTTCCCAACTTCTTCCCAAATCAGCTGATTGGCCAAAGAAAAGGTGTAAGTCCAATCTAACCCCATGAAGAAGTAATATAACTTGTCAATTGCCATCAATCAAGTTTAGTCAATATCTCACTTAAGGTAAAGGAACCAAACACAAACGTTTTGTTGAATGCTTCACTTGCTAAATCACCCTTTTCCGAAATCATGTCTGCCATTAAATTTGAGATTAGCTTTCCAAAAAAGCATTAACTCTAAATTTAGACTGAAGCTTTTCCCATGAAGAAAATTTGAAATGTACTGCAAACTCGATTTCAAAGTCACTGATTGGCACTTTCCTGATCAAATTTCCAACATCAGAAAACAAACTTTTTCATGTTTACTTACACAAATGGGTCAACAATTTTTTAATTCATTTTTTCCTAGACATTTAATACTTAAGGCAGGAAAAGGTCACTCTCACACAAAAATCCAGACACATTAACCAATATTAAAGTGGCATTATTTACATGAGAACTTCTTTTGAATTATTGAAAATTTTGTTTATACCACAGGATTCACTAAATGTAAAGACTTCCTCTATGAGTAACACTAATTCCAACAGAAAAATACAAAACAAAAACAGAAATAGAAAACTACCAGTTTGATTGCTTCCACACCCTGCAAAGAAATATATATTCTGATAATCTTGAAATATATTCCAACTTTGATATTGATCACACTTTGAATTTTTTTTTATCAGAAACTGTTACCATGGTTACATCACACTGACAAGGAAACTTTTCAGCTGCCATCAATTCCTTCGAAAATGATTCTATCTTTGGACACACCAGTGTCATGACCCTCAATTCTTTTATCTATAAAATAATTAAAGGTCATGAATATGGGTTGGCTACAACAATAATAATAGTAATAATAATACTCACACAATCATAAAAATCTAGACATTAACCACGCTCCAAAGTAATTGTTACAAATAGTAGAAACACTGAGATTACTTGGTAAGGAAAGAAACCATTATTGGACTACAACTGATAATTTAAATTGTTGACTGTTACCAGAAAGACTTGAAAGCATTTTGTTTCAAGGCAGTGTTTGTTTGTTTCTTCAATTATTTGCTAATCACAAAGAAAGAAGAGCAATCGTCAACTTATTCTTTGAAATCCAAACTGTTGGAATATATTACAAGTACCACAAGCCCAACTTTTGGAGCGCCAAGATGCTCATAGGAATTATTCTGAAATCTTCCATGATTACAGGTTCCCCTAACAACTAGACACAACAATCACAGTAAATTGGTCGGCCCCGAGAAACATGTAAGAATCCAGATGCATCCTGCTGAGATTGATTTGGTATCCCATACCGTACTTCACTCAAAATCACCACATCCTAAAAATCTTTGAAAAAAACCAAACAAACAGAAAATGAACCAAAAGTAACAAGATTAACTATTAGGTTTCTAACAAACACTGTAACATATAAGTAAAAAATAAATTCCTAATTTAACAAACTGAAATATTTAGATGTCTTTATGGTTTGAATCCAAATCTTAAGGTTAGACTGAAAAATTTCAAACACCTGTCCTTCATTCTTTATTTAATTTTATGTTTAAAAATCAAGAATAATTGCAGCTTTCAGTTTATGTAAGGCCTTCTACCTGCCTCCAAAATTTACTGAGTTGAATAAGGTAGAGACAATTCTGATAACCTTAGCTATTTGCTTCGCCACTTTCGGTTGTCCTTGCCGGAATAATCCTTCACTGGATAGCCATTTTCCAGGGCCGGGGAGGCTGGAATTAATTCATTGTTTGGAAGAAATTCAGTGTCAAGGAAAGAGGTGAACTAATTCCACGCGAGGGAGATTCTATGTTTAGATGTTTAGATATGTTTAGACTATCTCACCCTACCTCTGTTAATGTCAGATATTATGATATATGGTGACAGTATTAAGATTAAGAGAACTAACATTGTTGTTCGTGACTATATCTATCAGTTTCATGTATTTTTATTTGACTGCCTTTATAGTGCTCGTAATAAGCATAACAAAAGCTTTTCAAAGCAAAATTTAAGATAATTTGAACGTTTACTAAACATAATGGTATTTCAAGTTTAATTATATATTAGAAACATATGGTATACCTCATCAATTCGACAACTTAAAAAAAGCAGCAATTACTTAAAGCATATCTTATCAAAATTATAATTTGAATTATATGAAAAAATACAGCATATCTTATTACCATAACTGTTTCAAAACCTTATCTCAAACACTATATACATTGTTTCTACATATCTATTTGATCTAAACTTCAGTTTATCAAGTCTTTAAAAGACTGTATCGCCAACAAAGAACTCTCAAATTTCAATTATTACAAAACTGCTCTTACCTGTAGTTCTTAAGCAGTGCTACTGAGGAATGATTTACAAATTAAAAAATTTCTAAGCGTCTAAACCGTCAAGCTTTACGCGGCTTACTGAAAAGAACCAGCCGAAATCCGGAACTGAAACAGATGCCACACAATGAGCATCCTTCCACAGAGACAGCATCAGATGCATGGTAATCCCACCATGGCGCTTAAAATGGTAAATTCTCATTACTTCCATTAGAAACGGCACTGAATTTTCACCAGCGTCCAATTTTACCACTCAAGTGCTTTAGAAACCACACAATTCCTCTTCTTGAGAAAAACACACTGCCATTAATCGATGATAAATTAGACACGGCAATTTGCGAGTCATAAGCACAAATCCAATTTTGGTTGGAATTTACACGATAATTGGACACACAAAAAAGGGCTTTTTCCATGTGTGAAATATATGGATCCTCTTGACTGGTTTCACCGTTGGTTCACAGAAAAAATTCTTCTTAAAAAAATGGGCTACATGTTATATTTTGGTATGATCCTCCAGCATTATGTTATCTTATATGGCAAAAAAAAAGAAGAAAAAGTTTTAGAAGAAATCGTCAAATTTCCATTGCAAATATCTTTACGTTAAGTCATGAACAAAGCTTTTTATCCATCAATCATAGAGTGTCAGTGTCTTATTGAAGATTCTGACAAGAAAAGAAGAGTCTTTAACTTTCCACAACACAAATCCCAAGTTAAAGCATGAATATTATCTGCCATTTCATTTGCCTTCCATCAACCCATTCTCCATCACCTGTTGCCGAAGATGTCAATTTTCACATATTCCTCATCAAATCCATCAAATATATACAGAATGTCCATCCAAAGTATGTCAATTAAGTCTTATATGGAACCATGTACTGCATCACAGGCATCTCCGCCACGCAGTCCACATCAATTCCTGGAATTACTTCACTCCACCGTTTCTCCAAGAGGAAGGAACTCTACAGAGAGCTTCATTTGGTCCATCTGTTTAAGTCATTCGATTTCCGAGCTGTTTTCGTTCCTTGTCATATCTCCGTGTCTCCATCGTAAAAATCCATATCACACATGAAGCATAGACACTCTCCGTCCAACCCGAATTACCAAACCATTCTGGCACCAACTCTTTTACCTCTAACATTTACGTCTTCAATTAATTGGCACACTTCAGGTTAATATGCGATAAGTTGGTACTGTTCGTGTTTGTCAAGTTCCGCATCACAAACCCTCCAAGTTTAGTTTCGTCAATTAATAATGCGCCAATGTTCCACCCCCGATACTACAGCTGAATGCATAACCAAGGTGTTAGTACAGTAAGTCTACCAATGACAAATTAAGGCCAATTCATTTGGGTATTGATTTTGGGGGATGGTTAGGATTGGGTTGTCGTCAATAGCCAGATCAATTTCTCGTCATTCGTGACATACTTGCAATGTACAAAATACCTGGGGTTCCTAGTGCTTTGGTCTTAAATTGATCGATGCCATTATATTGAGCCTACCTCCTTTCGAGAACAAAAATGCCCAATTATAGTCCCAGTGTATAATTATGATTCAGCCCCGGAGGGAGCCGTGGGATATATGACTTGATTCCAAAATCAATCCATACCATAAACACAACAGATCAAAATACAATTTTCCATATTTGTACTTAACTTTAAAATGAAATATATGAATTTAAATATAATTTGAATCTGAACTAACTGCCACCCAGATTTAAAAAAATAAATATTTTGACTGATTTTTTACAAAATATATTCAGATACAGTTCTGTAAAAAAGTACTCTCTGATGTTTATGCAAATACATGCTAATAAAATTTACCCAAATACATGACAATCAAATTTACCCACATGTTCTCTTGCATGAGTGAGTGAGTGAGTGAGTTTAGTTTTACGCCCTTTTAGCAATATTCCAGCAATATCACAGCGGGGGACACCAGAAATGGGCTTCACATATTGTACCCATGTGGGGAATCGAACCCGGGTCTTCGGGGTGACGAACGGCCGCTTTAACCACTACGCTACCCCACCGCCCTCTCTTGCATGAAATCCCAATAGGGTCCTGCCATAATATTGTCTACCTTTTGTGTATGATTCAGTACTAGTCACAGGAACTGTTCTCAGTGGTAATTTTTACATCATCATCAACAGCAGCAGCAGCAGCAGCAGTTCCCAGTGGAATCTATCTCCATCTATCCCTTGTATATTTCATGAAGCAGAGAAATAAACAACAATACCACAACACTGTTACCTCAGGAAAATGTACATCCACATTGTCTGCAAATACATCCACAACAAGTAACATACTAATTACAGTGATCCTTGTACCACGACATGTTTGCTAAAAAATATCTTTCACAAAATAAAGACTTTTAAAATTCATATATAAACGACTTTGATGATGGTTTTGCTCAGACCAACGAAACTACCAATAATATTCAAGGTTATTTGGTTATTGATTATATTGATCAAGGTTCCTTGGTTATTGATTATATTGATCAGATGAATAAACATATATATTACACAAAGGTGTTTATTCATTGTTATTACACATATTAAAAGGCTGATAATGTTTGCCTGAAAACAGATTTCAGTGATTTAGCATGAGAAGGTGTAAAAGCACTTACCATTTATTACTTTACTTTCTATTTATTTTATTTGAAAACAGATTTCTTGACTGTTATTGCTACACTCTCTGTTGATACAAGTTTCAACTAAGAGTGTAGCAATAACAGTAAATACAAGTGAAAAACATTAAAAGAAATATATTTTCAATCATTCCCTTGGTCAAACACCTTGACATTACTCATCAGGTGTTAGAGCGTCTGCCCAGAGAGCGGTAGGTCACGGGTTCCATCCCCGGCCGCGTCATACCCAAAAAATATAATATGGTACTTGTTGGCCCCTGCCTGGCGCTCGGCATTAATGGGTACAACAAGGACTGGTCGGCTCGGGAGTCAGTATAATGTGTCTGAGTGGGGTATTCAAGCTTCACTGCAGCATGGTATCTCAGTGGGCTAGTACTATAAAACCAGCTTCAGTCTGGGCTAGTACAAGCAACCACACATACACATACACACGCATGCACGTCGTCATATGAGCGAAATATTCTCAAGTACAATGTTAAACCCCATTTCACCTCAACTCACTTATCAGTTCCTTGAAGTATTCCTTACAAAATGAAATATGTTCAGGGAAAAAAACTCTAAAATGAAAATAAGAAAAGTAAAATTGAAACACATAACTTTCTGTAACACTAAATATAATTTGAAAATTTGAAAGATCAGAACATTTTTGGGTTTTCTGAAGTTTATCTTAACTACTGCTAAAAGCACATCAAAAGAATGAAAGTAGGGTTTATTCACATTTTTCAAATGAAAATTTGACTTACCACTGCATGTGTTTATGACAGTGATACACTCACCTTTCATGATTACCTAGAATCATTACTTATTGATAGTGCTTCCTAAAAATACTTAGTTGGCATCAGGCAGAGATCTATTATGATAAGTGAATGTGTTATGTCATTTGATTGGTATGTACTTTTATATTTTTATCATCTTTAGGAAAGACCTTCAAATCAACAATCACAATATCGTTTTTCAATTTGCTTGTGCCCCTTGGAAAGCTGACAGACAAATAAATCCATAAAATTAAACTCTTTAATCCCTGAATATCAAATACAATTTAATTTCATGCATTTCTTCCCAAGGGGGATGCTTCTGACCTTCACATGGTGCTCTGTAAGGAAACGAGTTCACAAATCGGGCAAAGTTAACCCAGGTTACGAAAGATGGATGGGAGGTAACCCAGGTTATGGAAGATGGATGGGAGGTAACCCAGGTTACGGAAGATGGATGGGTGGTAATGTTTTCGTGAGCTTTCCCCCTGCTAGTTTATTGGCTTTGGTCCTTCCCCTAGTTGAAGCACATGTAGTTTCTTTGGGCTTGAGGTTATGTTTGAAATATACCTCTGTACACCAAGCAGTGTATGGGTACCAGGAAGGACAAGATTGTAATGTGACTGTTACTGTTGAGTTTTGTTTAACAAGGCTTCTGCAGTATAGTAGTTACATAATAGAAAGCCAGCTTAATTTTGTATAAATTCCACAAGTGATGAAGTCTCAGACATTTACCATTCCGGTGAAATCTACGAGCATGAGACATTACTGACGGAACCAGGACTTGAACCTACAGTTGTTTTCCAGCCCATCCAAAGCGACACATGGCTGCACAGCCAAATATGGCACCATAGATGACTGCACATTCCATGTCGATCTCAAAACCGAAATAATAATAACATACAGCATTTGTATAGTGCCCTATATGATTTAAGAAGTAAAACACTCTAAGGCGCTTTGCAGAAAGAGTCACAAATGCTACTGAGTGTAGGCTAATTTAAAGAGATGGGTTTGTACGCCAAGATGTTGGGTTTCTCAGGATAGATGGTAGATCGTTCCACAGTGTTGCTGCCATCTTGTTGAAGCATCTGTCACCGTACATTACAGTTCGTGTTTTAGGCACAGTGATCAGAGATGCAGATTGTGATTGAAGAGATCGCGCTGGCTTATAAGGAATGACGATCATGTCATACAGCATATCGTACAGCATATCATTAAAGAACTTTGAAACCTGAAGAGAAGCACCATTTAAATGGTTTATTAGTAAGTTTTCATTTCTTTGAATATTTTTTACTTATTCATTTCTATATCACAGAAGATGGGTGATGTGACATAAGGGAAGACTATTTTGACCAAAACTAACAATCCGAAACAGTCACCATGATTTAACATGTAATTTTATCTGTATTTTTTATTTCAGCTAAAACACCGTATTTACTTCAATGTTTGTTAGAATTATGTATGTTCTAAGTAAAATCCTGGATTATATCGTCAAGTCCAACAACCTCCAACTAACCTCCAATAATTATCAATAAACACAGTATCAAACGAACCAATCAATATGGAGGACAGTAGAGTATCTCGGTATTTTAAGCGTTGGTTGATTATGTTCATACTCATACAATGTGTGAGGTCCGTTCTTTTATCCCCTCCCATGATGCAGCTGGAATATGGCTACAAGCAGCATTATACCAGATCCATCAATTAATCAATGGCCACCGGTACCGCTTCACAAAGATCTGGCTTAGAACCGGTCTTCAGGAACCCATGCTTCTTGCAAGAGCCGACTAATGGGATCGGGTGGTCAGGTTCGCTGACTTGGTTGATGAATGTCATTGTATCCCAGTTGAGTAAATCGATGCTCATGACATCCATCACTGGATTGTCTGTCCCGACTTGTCTATTTACAAATCACCATCTAATAGCTGGAACATTGCCGAGTGCGGTGTTATAAAACACACAAACACCCCAGAAGCACTTCAAGGAACTCAGCTAAATTACAGACCTTCTCCTCAATGCATTCCAAGTCATGTTCAATCAACAAATGTGTTGACCACATGCTGACATTTAGGGCTCTGCTGATATTTCTGGATCTAATCGCCATGTAAAAGAGATTCTGCCAAGCTGGAAGCCTCTGTTTGGGAATCTCAACAAAAGCAGTCTTAGGATGTTGATTAAAAGCCTTGACGAGGTCACAACCTCCTCAGTCACACCACTCCAACCTACCATGTCACGACACCCCTCTTCTGTCACAAACCCTTACTCCTTACAATCTCATACTATATCACAGACCCTTACTTTGTCACAGCCCCCTACTTTGTCACAGCCCCCCTATCCTGTCACAACCCCCCCTACCCTCAATCGCAACCCAGGGGCAGTAGAGTATCCTCATGGTTAAATGTTCAACCATCACGCTGAAGACCATTTCGATTCCCCACATGGGTACAATGTGTGAAGCCCATTTCTGGTGTCCCTCCAATGATAATGCTGGAAAATTGCTAAAAGAGGGTAAAACTATACTCACTCACTCACTCACTATCACTACCCCTTAAACTCTATCACAGCCCCTTAAACTCTATCACAACCTCCCTACCTTCTACAATGACCCCCCTTACCTCTCAAACCCATCTACCCTCTTACACAAAACCCCTACCTTCTATCACAACATCCCTACCCTCTATCTATCCCAGGGGCAGTGGAGTAACCTAGTGGCTAAAGCGTTCGCTCGTCACGCCGAAGGCCCGGGTTCGATTCCCTACATTGATACAATGTGTGAAGGCCATATCTGGTGTCCCCCACCGTAATA